AATTACTGGCGCTGTGGGCCACAGCGACACTAAGAGTCGCTGTAGGCCACAACGCCTATTTAAAATTATTTAAAGGACAAAAATATATATACAAAAACAATATAAATTACAGAAAAATAAACTTTATAATTACAAATTAATATTTAAGTGCTAAATATAAATTAAACAAATTTCCAAACAAAATAAGTTAATAACTAAAAAAAAAAAATTAATTAGTGGCGCTGTGGGCACAGCGACTCTGTGTCGCTATAGGCCACAACACCACTTAAATAAATAATTAAATCTATTTTTTAAAATTACGTTTTGAAATAATTTTTTTTTTTTATAAATATATAATAAGTATACTCAGTTGATTATTTTAAGGTTATATTTAAATTATTTCAGTTTTTTTTCGTTTTTTTTCTTAAATGGTGTCGCTATGGGCTACACCATCTTTGTTGGCTCACAAACTGTGTTGGTCCAGCCCATAGCGACACTGTTGTGGCTCATTCCAGCCATCCCTCCGCCAAAAAAAAAAAAGCCACGTGGCATTGGTGTCGCTATGGGCCATAGCGACACCGTTGTAAACAACCCCAAAGACGTAAATAAATTCAGAACAACCCCATTTACGTAAATAACTTGGTCAACGACCCCACTTTGGTCAAAAACCCGCACTATGTTACTTATAAACTATTATAATTATATATTATTTGGACATGTCTTCCTAATGTAATGTGCAGGTTATCTAGGCTTGTCATTATTAGCCAAGAATCTTCATGTCTGAGCTTGCATTGTAGTAGTCGTGGCACATATAGGAAATAGATGGAATTGACCATGTACCATTCCATGTATTCTCGTGTGTGAAATAATGGACCTTGCATTTGATGACCCATCAATGTGTGCTCACGTCTATTGTTCCATCGATCCATCAGAAGTGGCTAGAACGACCCATTTCGGATTCAAAATGGACCGTTCTGGTCCCACTGTTCATGTGTTAATTTTGAAAATGGAACGGTCTGTTCTGATATCAAAATGACTCATTCTGATCCATTTGTCATAGATAATTAGTTTGTAAAACTACACCAAATTAGTCGTTTAGCCTGATTTAAGTGAAGCACTGTTATAAGAGATTCAATGGTGTTTAATGTCCATCACATCAAATTTTATCATTTGGTGTTTCTGCCATTTGGTACATCTTGACGTCACTTTCACAAAATATGAGTTGGAAATTTGTGAATTATAGGAGGCTGAACCAGTGCCGTGGCTAAGCCAAGCCCTTAATAAATAAATAAATAAATAAATATATATATATATATATATAATATTTTATATAATTAAGAAATATATTTAATTATATTATTTATAATCAATTTGTTAATACATACAATTATACAATCATTTAAAAATGTGTTTATGTATAATATTATGGTAGAATTATTAGTTTATTTTTTTTTTATAATTAAAAACTTATATTATATTTGTTTGAATTGAATAAAAAATGTTATTAAAATAAATATAAAGGTTAAATTTCATAAAAATATTATATCTTATAAGAAAATGATGCTGAATATAATGATAATGATAATGATAAGAACATTTAGTTAAAGAATAATTCTTCTAATTTTTATAAAAAAAGATATATATATATATATATATATATATATTTTATAACTTATTTAAAAATTTTAAAATATGAAATTACTTTGAAATTCGTATTTGAATTTCAATAATTTTAAAAAAGTAATATTGTCTTATTAGAGATTATGACTTTTTTCTCTAAATTAAAATTACTAAAAAAAATATTAACAAGAAAATTAGTGTTTCATTATAAATATTAAACTATATTAAAAAAAATATTTTTAAAACGTGTTACATGTGTTAATTTATAGAATATTATAAATAATATTTTTTATATTCATTTTTTAGATTAATTTGAAACTGTGATGCAAAATAGTTATCAAAAGAATTATCATTAAGTGAGATGTTCAAACTTTTAAACTATTAGATTTAATTGATAATTTTTGTGGAAAAATTAAAATAAAAATCATCAATTATTTGAAAGTAAATTTTAAATAAAATTTTTGTCTTGAGCCTAAAATTTGTTGGACACGGCCCTGGGTTGATCAAGATATGTGAGAAGCCATTTCCGTATCCCATTAATTATTAGATGAATTTTTGAGCTAGATCTTAAATCAAGTTACCACCAAATTCGAATGAGAACGGATGATGCAGAAAATTCTGTTCTGTGACACCCCAAAACACTAATCTTAAACTAAATGTCTGGTTAAGCTAGTCTGGGAAAACATGAATTTAAACTTTTTGAGAGGACTAACAGAAAAATCAAAATTTCTGACATGCTGAAAGCAAGTCTAAAAGACACCCATGTTAATATGCACACAAAGTAAGCCAAAACATACACAACTACAGTTATCCAAAATAGTCCATAATAAAAAGAGGGTTGACAATACCCAGAGATGAACACAAACTCTCAAAAGGTTTTGCCAATTCCTCAGGTCATTACTCCCTCTTCTGTTTCTTCCCTTTATCCTGCTTTTGGCTCACTTTTTTTACCACTCAAATACTATTAAGTCCAAATGCATAAAAAGAAAACTATGACTAAAAGCACAAGGGCCAATGCAGTGGCTTAAAATACAAACATAAACATTACAATAAAATTTATTTTGGAGGGGGTGCATTAACTATTAAACCTATCAGCCACGTTAAAATGGACCAAATGCTCCAACAAACGACAAAAAGGACAAAGAATCCAGCCAAAATAGTAAGGAGAGGAGGTCCCTGAGTAGCTTTGCTAGTTTCATTTACATCTGATCCTTCTTTGGGTGATTTTTCACCTAGAGAGTTGGGGTTTGATGCAAAAACAGTCAATTGCCTTTGATTCACTTGTAATCTCCTAAAACCCTTGCACCTGGATACAATCAAAAACCAGAAGATATATACTCTGATGTTAAATTACTAGCTACAAGATAAAACGTTTGTAATTAAAAAAGATGCAAGTAATACAACAATGTAGTATAGACACACAAGCACACTGCCATTAATTCAACTAGCATGTTTGAATTGAAGAGGAGAGTTGTGCTACGGATACTTAATTGTATCTATATCCAATATCCAAGACTTTAAAAATTTATGTAATCTCGATACCCTTAGATATTTATTGGTGAAATGTATTGGTAAAGGACACGAATCAATAAGAAATTATGAATTAAATAAGATATATAAACATGTTTAATATAAAAACATTGAAAAATTATTTCTTGATGAATTAAAAATAGAAATTATCTTCTTTATGGATGATTATGAGAAAGAAATGAGATTGAAAGTATTATTTCAATTTATAAATAAAAATATGTAATTTATGATGAAATGATTTATAATTTATTTGTTTTTTTAATAATATATAAAAAAATATGTTTTTTAATTTGAATTTGCAAAATTAAAATTATATATTTATTATATTTATAACTTTTGATCAAAATTATAATCACACATTATATTTTATGAATATTGATACATATAAAAACATATATTTTGCACGCACCTTCCTTTCATTCCTTGATAAATTTTACGAGTACTTCTATCATTCTCTGAATTTAGAAATGAAAAATAATCCTTCCCAACCTTCCCCTCCAAATTCCATCTATCCAAACATTCCCAACCACATGCAATTAGGGTCTGTTTGGAAGCGATTACTTACAGCTAAGCTTCTTTGAAATTATCTCATGACATTAGCACATTCGGAAGAACTTATGAAAATTTTCAACTTATTGTAATACACTCTGCAGGATAGTTTCTGAATGAAATCAGTTTTACCCTATTTATTCTTCGATCATAAATATTAAGTTTTCATTGAATTGAACAAGTCTTTAACAACTTAAACCCTTAAAAGATTTTCTTTGTTATTTAACTTCAGAAGCCTCCAGTTGTTAAATAAACACAAGGATAAATAACAAAAAAAAAATTAAAAATGATATTAAACAAATTAGATCCTACATTGTACATTTTGTCCAATGAAAATTGAAGAAAGATGAATCCAACCCTCTCCAAAATAAAATTGTCATTGCAAAACAAAAAAAAAATGAAAAACAATAAGCAAAAGCTTATAATAACAATTCAAACCACAACTCTGGTAGTGAGATAAAGTTCAGCACACTGCAAAAACAAACACCGGAATCTACCACCATACAAATTTTGAAATTAAGAATAAAAAAGAAAGTAGCGAGAAACTTGAAATCCAGAAAACAAACAAATGCATAGAAAAATAAAAAACTAAGATGCGAAAAATAAGAAGAAAAAAGTGTGAACCTGAAAGCAGAAGAAGCGAAAGAGGATTTGATAGGAGCAAAAGAGAGAAATTGAGGTGAGGAAGGAAACCCTAGTGTGAGCTGTGTCTGTGCGTGTGACAATCTCAGATACGCCATACCACCTTCTCACTACCCACAACCACAAAATATGATTTTTGTTCTATGTGTTTTGTTATTTAGCTATGGAATATGTATATATATATTTATTTATTTTTTGATAGGAGAGTTAAAGTTCCAAAAACAAAATTTTATACTAACAATAAAATAAATAATCTCATGTAGTACCATGTTTGTTTTGCTGCATATTTTAAGTCATATTCATAGACAGGTATTGAATATTGATGAGTGGTTTGTGATTTATTTATGAAATGTAGTTAGAAATAGAAATAGATTAAGTCAGTGTTTAAATATATAGGTTGTAACTGTTGTGTAAAATTAAAATTTAAATCTTATTATTTATTATAATTTTTTTTAAAATTTTGTTTAACATTTTTAAAGTCTGATATAATATATTAATCTATTAAAAATTCATTTAAAATATTAATATTAATTAGGTCAATAAATTTAATTTTTAAAAATTAATAAAATTATTTTTAAAATATGATTTATTCAATATTATTAAAATTTAAATTTAAAAGAAATATAGGAGAAAAATTGAATCATGATTTGTTGAAGGCCAATTCGTAGCATGTATGTTGATGTATACTAATGCACATGTCTCATGCACATGTCGTATAAAAAATATTATTAATATTAATAATTTATTTTTGTTTTATAAATTTTATTTATTTATATTTTTAATAATATATATTAATTTTTATTATATTATATAAATAAATATGTTGACCTATCAAATCTAACAGATTTTTTTGTAAGTCTAAGTCTGACCATTTTATATAAATAGGTTTTTTTTAGAGGAAATTTTATATAAAGATTTTTTTATTTTAAATTTAATTTTTTTATTAAACAGCCTAAAGTCCTTGTTTAAGATTTGATGTATTTTCGTCCCTAAATGTAATGTATGATATTGTCCGCCAAAAATTTAGATTATACTAAAAAAATAGTTGGCACCAAAATACTATTATAGAGGATTTATTCCTAATACTTATATGATAAAAAAAATAAATAAAAAAAAAACTCAGAACTTAGAATAAAGAGAGATGCAAGAAAGAGAAGAGGCTCAAGTGTGTTTTTCTCCTTCAATAGAGAGTGTTAAACAAAGGAGATTGGACATCACACAAACTAAAAGGTAATTAAAACAATTAAAGAGTAATTAAGCACCAATAGTCTAAAAAAATAAAAATTATTAAAAAGATTTTATGAGTAGAAAATAAAAATCATTAAAAAGATTTTACAAGTAATGAATATCTAAAGATGCTAAAATTGTTACTCTTATGTAACTTCTTTAAATAAAAAAAGTTAAGAAAAATTGTATCAGTCACATAGAAAAGACAAATCAACTAGTTTGCACTGCAACAAATCCATTAGACCCATGTACATACACACGAGTCTTCACTTTTGTTAACCTTTTTTATGTTTATAAAGGATGTGAGAAAGAGAAGAGAATAGTATTTTTCAGTTTGCTTTTTCCCATGGCAAAGAGTGCCATGTATAAGAGGTTGGATCACATGAATTAAAAGGCAATCAAAACATTTAAAGAGTAATTAAGTACCAATGACCAGAAAATATAAACCATTAAAAGAATTTTATGAGTAATGAATTTTTGAATATGATAAAATTGTTACTCTCTTGTAACCAATGCTTTAAAAATCAGACTCGTCATAAAAAAGGTCAAGTATTAGTAGATTAAGAAAGGTCAAGTATCAGTAAATTAGGAATTGAACAGGTAGGTCACTCATTAAGCTGTAAAAACAGGTTTTAATTAATTTTAAAAAAAAATATTCATGTCATATATATTTAATACCTATAAAGTTTATTAAATGCACAAGTTATCACTCTATGTCTCTATTTTTTAAGCTAAATAAATTAACTAATATAAAATCTGAACCGTATAATTACTTTAATATATGTGCCACTAGTAGATGTAGTAGAATTGGGATCTCCATTTCTTTTATAAAATTGAGAGGATATGAACGAAGTATAGCTATAATGATTAATGAAATTATATTAGGATCCTTACAGTCTTATGTTAATATTTAACATCATAAAGTAAGATATTAACAAATATAAATTTGATAAACTCTAAATTAATAATAATGATAAATCATACCTGGTGATGTTATTATTGTAATTCAGATGTAAAAAGAAATTTTCATATTATAACCTTTTATTAATCTTACATATATTTCTTTCTTTCTACATCATATATTAATTATACATATATTACTCTTTTCTTTTCATAAATATAAACTAACATGATAATCTTTATCTATCAACCTATAATATATATTTATAAATTTTAGGGAGGCAAAAAAACACTTTTAAAATGATTTTGATACATTTTTTAAAAATCTCCCTCTGCCCGAGTAGTACTCACATGAAATTCCAAGCAGTAGTGTTTAATGAGAGCATTAGGGAGTGTATTGATAAGATTTATTTTCTTTTAAGAGAAAGCTACATTTTGTCCACAAGCAAGACTCAAAGTAAATACATGTTAGAAAGAATACAAGGGGACAACCCCAAAACAATAATGCCCTTATTCTTATGCTCCCTCAAACCTAATTTAGAAAAAGTGGAAAGACAACTGTGAGAGTGAAAAACCACTCTCTTTACCTAAATACCAAAATCTCTTCTTAAGCAAACACGATGGGGGAGGGTAATGAATATTCATCATTACAATCGTACCAAATTTTCAACTCAACAGCACCACACATCTGCCGCAGTGTGTATTTTAGCAATTATTAACAGAGAAATGGGGCTTTAGAGTTCAGAATTATTTGGCGCACAATTGCTCGAGTTTCTCCAGCGTGACACTTTTGGGCCTTTCAAGTGGCATTCCAAGAGCCCGGTCCCATATCAACTGAAATCCACCGAAGAGAGATGTTAACCCAAGATAAGAAAAAGAGAAGTGTTAACAAGGAAAAATATGGGGCACGACAGACCTGAGGGCCAACTCCAATGCTCCTCGATACACCAAAGAGAACAGTATAATAGCTGTCCACAAATTTTAACAGAGCATCAGATTCATTCACCCTAAAAATAATTGAAAAATGAAAGCTATTTCATGTCAAAAAGGCGAGATATGCAACATACTTTTCCTCAGTTAGACCATAGTAGTTCAGTAGCACTCCACTGTGAGCATCAACATTAGGCCATGGATTTTTAACCTACACCGTTGAAAAATCAAATTTAAATGCATCATGAATAAATTACGAAGAGAGTAAGGAGTACATCGGTTTAACGTGTGTTCAAATTTAATGCGAGACTCTACATGAAAACATTATGTGACATATCATCTAGGTGCAAATCAGTAAAAACAAAAGTATAAAGCAAACAGAACCAAACTAGAATCTGAAGGGGCGGATCCAAATTCATATGTGATTGTGTAGGTAAAGAAATAGTGAATGCCCACCCTGAAAAAACCCAATACTTGCATCATAAAAACTACAAGACAAAGACAACTTAACAGAGCACATGCTGCATGGTTCTCTCCAATTTTCCCCCCTTCTGAATCTTTATCCACGTTTTTATTCCTTTGGAATTAAAATTAAAATTCTTTACAGATGAAACTCACCATGATTTGTGCAGATGATTGATGTCATCAAATTTAAAAAACTCTAGCAACTTAACATAGAAATAGAAATTCATTATTTAATGAAAAACCATAGTATCAGACTTTTCAACAAGTTACATGTCAAGGGAATATGTAGGTCCCATTAAACAGAGAGAACTCTAGTTATTTGCTGAGATCTATTTGAAGTTTACCCAATAATAAAGAGTGCACCAAATAGTATATTGCTAGCATTTCCCTATTGTAACATGCAGTTCCTATACCATCTTCCATTGTGTTTAATCCAATGTCGGTGCTAAACCTCAGAATCCGCTCTGTTTAATTCAATCCCTGTGCCCCAACCTTAAAATCCTATAATCTTAGTGGAAAAATGTTTTCATATTATACAGGAATTTGGCAGTACATTCATTAAGCATAGACCATTTTGAAAATAATAAAAAAATAAAAAATAAAAAAGGAGAGAGAGAGAGAGAGAAAAAACAAAGTTGAAAATAAATAATTCCATAGAAAGTATATTGAAAAAATAAAAACATAAACACTACCTTGCCCAACTTGGTAAGAATGGGAGGCACAACCTCTTTTATTTTAGACACCTGAAAGGGTCACAGTGGCATTAGATCATGAAGAAATTGAATTACAAGGTAGCTTTGGTTGTGTAGTAAGAAAGCATTCCAAAGCCAAAACAATCTTGGAATTAGGAAATAAGTGATTACCAGCTGGAAAAGTGGATCATTAGGCAAATGCTTTAAAGCAAACTCCCTCTGGCATGTGTATCTTGGATCTGTCTGTCGCAAAACCCCATGTCCATATCCAGGCACAACCTGCAAATCCAAAAAGTGCATTAAGCCAAAGCCTATTTTATCCGAGAAGCTGACAATGAGATTCTCTTAAAATCATTTGGTGCAAAGATACGCATATCATCACATGATAAAACCATTATGCTGCAGTAAAACATAATATATTTATACCTCCCTCATGTAATTTTCTCTAATTAGTAATTTCATATATTAGTCTTTTATTTTGAAAATCTACAAAAAAACTCTGTTTAATTTTCTAGTAGAAACTTCCCGTTAGAGAAGGCTTGTATTGTAAAGAAAGAAAATTTGTAGGGTGGGCATGTGTAGTGCGTGTCTAGATGCATAATGCCCTCCACCTAACAAATCATTGGGCATAACACATTGGACAAAATGACATGCTTTGCTCAATTTTTTTATCTCTCAAGTGTAATTCTCATCCACTGCTCTTCCATAACGAATTTCATTACTTAAGTTTAGACAAAACAAAAAACATAAGAATATTTAATTCATAACTAATTGAGCAAAACAAATAGGCTAAAGTAAAAAATAAAAGGCTACAAAAACTTCATCCAGCATCATAGATTCATATCAGTTATCACATTACCTGGCCACTACTCAATGTTTTATTAATGTAGTCAGTCAATTGTTCTGTACTAATGTTAGGAGTTCCAAACTCCGCAACAATTGATCTGATCCATCGTA